CAGGTGGTGTAAATGAAATTGTTTGGTCTTGCAAGAGGCATTTCCTCTTTCAGGCACTGTTTTGGTTGAAATTCAGTGACTAAGATCTGATGTTCTAAGAAGAGGTGTTTGCAGTGTACCTCAGCTGTTAGACACTTGCCTGCCTCTGTGTTAACCTGGGCCCAAGAAAGGCAGGTCAGAGGCTTAGTAGGGCAAATGAATAAATGGGTATTACTTGCGCTATTGTCTCAGTATAAAAGTTCCCGTAAAATCCCTGCAGGTCAATCCACTCCACCTTTGATAGGTAAAACATGTTATCCTATTGCAGCATGCTCACTCACTCTGCCTGGTGCAGGCAGCTGCCTTCCTGCTATTTTTTCCTTCCCAACGTCTGCCACTTTTATGGGTTTAGTGTTTGCTGCAGGCTTAAGATGAACCTTGCTGGAGCCAATCTGGCATACCCCACTGTTTGATCGTTCTTGAAGTGTCATTTTGTTCCCTCAATCCACCAACTCATTCATTTGTTACCTCCTTTCATTTAAGCATTTGTAGTCAGAGAGGGTAATACCTGAAGGAAGAGCAGAGCTGTAAGTGTATATTACTACTCTCTCATTTTCTAGCTATGTATTTTTTCACATATTTAAGCAGTTTCAGAAAGGTAAAAACAAAAATCCCAATGGACAAGGTGTAAGTAGATTTGTAGTATATAGGCTATATTGATGCCCTGGTAAGTGCAGTCTGAATTAAGCAGGCATTGTAAAACACACACTATATTATAATACTGCACATCCTCAGTGCTTAGAACACCCATTCTATATACTGTATGAAGAAATTAACAGTTTACAAATAAATCAAGAGAGCCACCAGCAATGTCTCTTTTTTCTTTCTGTAGTAGAAATTATCAGGTTTTAAAGGATTGAAGGGCCAAAAAACCTCCCTTATACCCTCCAGATCCATCATCTTTGTGTGCAGAGTCACTATTCATTTTACTGTCAGAAATAAGCAGCTTCTACTTTTAGACCCACAAAGCCTGTACAGTTGAGGAACAATGAGAAGTGTTTTCTTCTGCCTTGCACATACTTTGTTGAATGACTGATCACATTACAGCTCTAGAATTTTTTATCCTGATGAAAACATATGACAAAGACAGAATGGATTTGAATTTTTCAGATTCTCTCATTTCAGTTCCTACAATACTAACACGTAGTGGAATTTGCTGGGTACTGCTAAGCTGAGCATGTGAGTCATGCTGTCTCTCTTTAACACGTACACGTGGATAAAGAACTTTAGCGAGTGTGGTTCATGGAGAAAAATCTCAGTGATGATCTTCTAACACAGATGTCTTCTTTGTTTGCCATCTGCCTACTTCCAATTTATGTTAGTTTCTTGAGGTAGATGAGAAGCCATAGGTAGACTATGTACATCTACACGACCTTGGTCCCCATGGAGCTGCAGAGTCCCTCAGCTAAGGGATGATCTTAGAGCAGAATCTTCATCCTGGGTGGTTCTGAGCAGGATAGATATAAAATGTTTAACTTCTGAATCTCACAATTCTTTCTGAAGCTCTTTTCCACCTCCCAGCGTGGTCAGCCCTCATTCCAACACATCTGGAGCATACTGTTTTACAGAATAGCTAGATGAAGTGTCTGCGGGAGCTGGGGAGAGACACAGACTCCAGTGGGCTCAGTGCGTGCTGGATATGGAAGCTACTGAAAAGCAGTGTTCAGGAAGCTTTCTGCTAAAAAAAACAACTGTTAATATTCATGACAAGAAATTCAACTCCTGCAATACTCAAAGCCATGATGTATTGACAGTGACATTGTGCCTTAGCACTATGTAATCTTTAATGTCTTTATCCTGTGGGATCAGAGAATTAGGATTATGTAGTGAATAAAGGAAATACATGCAAACTTGATTGAGCTAATGTCAGTTATAACAAAAATTAATTTGTCCTCTTTTTTCATTAGTAAACAAACAAAACTAAAGCAGGTTCTCAATGCTAGGCTTCCCATGGTGAAAACAGATCCAGCGCAGCAGACACTCCTGAATTCATGTGGTCTCAGCTGGGACTCCCTGCTTCTGTGAGGGGACTTTAGATACTTAAGACCAATTGTGTCTCTGAGAACTAAACCGTAGCTGTCCTTTATAGTTTTGTAAAGTGTTTTACAGAGCCTCAATGGATTTTTAAGTAAGAGTCTGGAGATTGAGAATCAGTTCCAAGCCCCTAAAATGTGTTTAATTGTTGACCCAGCAACTCTTTCCTGAAATGATGAGAGCATCTTTACATTCATAAATAAATCAATCTGTTTGGATATGCCACTGAAGGGCACAACATATGTACCTGTAATATAGACCAGTCTGCTGCAGTGTGTTTAAGGGCCAGCTGTTAAGCAGCAGTACCCTGTAGGACTGAGCCTTGGGTAACTTTTACTAACACCAAATTCTTTGCCACAAAAACTGTCTTTTCATTTATGCCATTGGTGGAACTGATTTGGGCCACATCATTTATTTTAATTGTAGAGCTCTAGATGGTTTAACCAGAAGGTTGAACCACCATTACAGTGGACGTGACATGCAGAATTTTGTATATATGGAAGAAGTCACATTCCTACAGTTCTTCAGGGAGTCTGGCAAATAACTAGGTGGCTTTGGTCTCCAGCACTGTAAAACACCTGCTGTTCGGCTGGATTCAGTTAAAATTAAAGCAAAAAAAAAAATTAAACCTGGAGAGTATGGGGAGGTAGGTGTGTCTGGAAAGATCGGGGCAAGCAGTTTTCCCTAGAGATTGAGTAGCAGTGAAGGAAGCAATACAGAGTAATCTGGCAAGTAAGAACGTAATCTGCCTCAAGAGGAAAACAGGAACACTAGAAGTAAGAAACTGCATGGCTACTGAGAACAGTGCTTGCAGAGTCAGCAAAGGCAACAGTTAATTTCAGGACAGTTTCAATTATACTACTGCAGACCTCAGTGCCAAAGCATTTTGCAAAAAAGTGGAGTGGTCTGAATTAAAAGGCAGTTGGATCATTTTATATTTGTGCATTTAAACTTATGCATTTGTGTGCAAGATAAGAGGTTGGCAGACAAGCGCATGTTGTGAGAGTCTGAACGCTGATCTTCTCTGGGGTTCAAGGAAGAACTTGGAGGAAGTCCAAGTTGAGTGAGGCTGATTTACTCTTTAAATTACCACTTTTAACTAAGATCTATATATATTTGTCCAAGTGAAGCTAGCCTGTGTAGGTGTTTAAAAACCTTGTAGGTCTTTGCAGGACTATAAGAATGAGTACTTCAGGTTAATGTTAAATATTGACACATTTAGAACAATGCTACACAGCAGATGTCGTCCCAACATGTGACAGCAACATTACAAAGCAGAACGAATGGAGCGGAAGCAGCTCTGGGACACCCTGCTGTAACATTCTCATTAACTCCTAATCTGTAAGGCTGGAGAATAGCCCGACTGTACTGAGTACAATAGGGGTTGTTGGCCTAATGTCTTTGGTGGGTTAGCATTCATTAAAAAAGCTATTGAATTCAATTCTCTTTCTGAAGAACAAGGAAAAGGAGCTGCAGAAAAACATGGCCTGATGCAGGCACACAGACGCTGGGGACACTCCCATCTCTGCTCCAGTTAAGGAAAACACTGTGAATTTTTGCTAAAATACTCTAACGGTTTTCAACACAATATGCTACTCCTATTGCAAGTGTATTCATGCCATCTATGCTCCTACTGATTTTTTTTTTTTTTTCCTGTGGAAAACAGTTTAACTCAAGTAGTTTTTTATTTTATTCTACTTGAATGAAGACTTCAGAATTTAGCTGTGGGATTCTTAAATATGCTGTTCGTATTCCCTAAGGCCTTTCTGCAGCATTGCTGCAGAGTCTGCACCCCACTATGCAATTTCATAATGCGTGTTTGTGACAGGCATATCAAACCATCCAGTTAGTTTAGAATTGAGGTGAGAGAGTGCTTTAAATGTAAATTTTACTGTAAACAGTGGAATAATATCTTGCAAGCACTTCCTATCTCTGCCAGGAAGCAAGGCTATATTTAACTCATTTTAAAATTCATCAAATACATTCTGGGCTGATTCAGATCTTTGGTGTGTCTTTGAAGATAACATGTAGTGGAAGTGTTATACAGTCCATTGTGGAATTGGGCGCATTCTAAGATTCTTGTCAGTGAAGGCATGCAGTTAGGATGGATTGTAGAAAGAAAAGTGCACATAGATCTGATGGGTTAGTATTGATACCTTATTAAAAGGTTTTAACAATATCAGTTGCTTTCAGTTCAGAAGCTTTATAAGGAATGCTGTATTTAAAGAGATTAGTGCCATACCAATGGCGAAATTCACATGCACTCATCTCTTTTAAAGGAGATTGTCTTGTAGTGCTTGGGTTAGGCAGTGTTTTAGAGACGCTAATACAAAGTGTTGCTATAGTAGTTATTTGCAGAAGTTTCAAAATGCATAGAAAAGATTACTAGATATTAAGGATAAGCCATAAGAATTTAACTATAGGTTCTGTGTACAAAAGGAAAAACTTCCAGATGTATCTTCCTCTTCCTTTGTTTTTCTGTCTGAGTGCACCTCCCTGCAGCTTTGTATCCCTGTAAACTCAACTGTTGTTATTGATAGGGTTAAATATAGACTGGAATAAACCTGTCAAATTTCATGCTCCATTTTTTGTAGGTGTCATTAGATAAGATCAGTAAGACTCCAAAAGATTGTTTAGGTGGGTTTTGTATACGTAACCGCTATATGCTGCTGTTGTGTCTCTACTGGTTGGGGTTTACTTGTGAGTCCATTTTAGAAGCCCTGTGAACAATCTAAATCTATTAGCAAGATGTTTGCTGTTGCCTATATCCTACCGCTGCCTAAAATCCTTAATTAAAAGAAATAATAGGCTATGCACTAAGAAAAAAACTCTGAACAGGAAATTGAAATTGTGACATGCTTCTAATATGGTTTTATGCATCTTGCTTGTGGTTTTCTAATGTTCATTTGCCTTTAATTTTGTTCTAGTACATGACTGCTGCTGCACCTATGCAAGGGACCTACATTCCCCAGTACACTCCTGTGCCTCCAACAGCTGTCCCTATTGAAGTAAGTTTGCCTTCATCAATTACAGTAGATTGAAGGGCTAGCAGAACTCTTGTCTATTATGCGTCCTTGCACCTGTTGTTTGAAAGGGGCCTAAAGTTACTTAATGGAATGTTGCCTGTAAGCTTCCAGCTTTTAAAATGAGGACTGCAGATTTCTTTCCTTTTCTTTTTTTCTCTTCCTTCTTTCGCTTCCCAGCCGCAACCCCCCCCCTTTTTTTTTTGTTTGTTTTGGTTTTGTTTTTTAATTATTTGCAAGGGCTCTTGGTGTGCATTTGTTTTGTTGTACAGCAGGACATGGAATAAAACATCAGTGATTATGACTGTTTTTTCCCCATGTACTTGGGAGGGAGATGGGAAAAGACAGGAAAACAAACCCAGCAGGCAGACCACAAGCACAAAAGAGATTCCAAGAAGAGAAGATTGCAAGAGGGTTTGATGCGGTCCTTAGCAAGTATAGGTAATTGCTGAAACATTTAGCCACCAGAAAAAGTGATTGAGCAATGGAAACCTTCCTCTTGTATATACAGACGTGGAGGATGCTGCACTGACTGAGTGCTTTTCATCCTTGAGGAAGGATTCGCTCCCTCCCTCGTTGGGGCTGAGTCATGCTGATGACAGTCTAATGAGTAAGTATTTACTCAACCCTGTAGACCACAAGCTGCCGGGAGAATGTCAGCTTGGCGGAGGTGTCAGCTTGGCCTCCACTTCTGTGAAGCTTCATAAGGGCCGCTGAGCACAGTGAGAGGAGGGACCCTTGGCATCCTCTTCCCTTTGTGCTTCTCTTTGGTGCTACGCTCTTTTATTAATAACTTCTCTCGTATTCTGGGGTAATGCAAGGAATGCCAGGGTCTCTGTACTTCTGTCTTCGGCTGTGAAGACTTCGGAGTTTGTGCTGTTACTACTCTGGGCTAGTGGTACTGTTGGCATGGCTTCACCAACAGTCAAGTGGATTTGTCTTGGTTTCTTTCTTTCTTACTCAATTTACAAGCACTGAGATTCCCAAACAGGAAATGCTGCTACTGGTCAGTCATACTGAGCTGGTCATGTTTTAGTCTTTTTTTGCCTCAGGATAATTTTGCCCCAAACCTTGTTTGCTTCCAAACAAGCCATGAGTGCCTCTTTCCAATTGCCATTTTAGGTATTAAACTGGGCAGATACAAATCCAAATTAAAAAGAAGTAGTGGAATGGAGAGTGTTTCACAGCAGTGGCTGCATATGGTGCTTACCAGTGCTAATGAGAAATTGAGTTAATTCTTCCTCAGTCCTCCTCCCCATCACTCACTGGTATATTCACGCCTGCTAAAGTAACATGATGTCATAATTTTCTTCTATAATAAACAAAATATTATCTAAATATATAGCCTGTCTTGCTGTGATCCAGTGATGATAATTAATGTTTATCTGTATTCATGTAGCATCATGAACCAGGACTCTATTATGGTAGATGTTCCACAAGGAGAGAGGAAAAAAATACACCCTCTGCCCCAGAGAGCTTACAGTCTCAGGATGAGATGGACAAAAGCAGAAGGATAAAGGAAGTAGACAGAAAAAGATAATACTGATAGTCTGTTAAGCAACAGATACGAAGAATTTCTGAAAAATGAAACTGATAGTTTTAACAGATAATTTAAAACAAACTACCTGTTGTTTACACAGGACTCTAATAAAACCAAAGCAAGTGCTTTGTGCTCCCTCTTCTGGCTCTGTTGTGTGCAATACAGTAATAAAGCATATTCCCTGAAGAGACCTGCTAGTGTTATTCATGTGATCAATGCACCAAGCATGAGAGTAAAGGAAAGAAAACGTAGCTTACTTTGAAAGCGTAAATATACGTTAAAATAGTATCATTCAGACTGTCTAAATAGGAAAAGATATGCATGATGTTTAATTTTCTTTTTTTTTTTTGAAACATAAATAAAACTTCATTGGGGCTTTGACTTAACAGATAAAAGTCTTTAGTGTGAAGTAAATTTATTTTTGAAGAGACCATATAAAAGCAGTGTGTAGAGGAGTGCAGTATTTTTCCAATGCAGCTAAAATTCTGTTGGAGGTATAGTAAATTAGAGAGCAGTGAGCCTTTATCGCATTGCAACTCAGGCAAAATAAATGTGAACTCACTGTGAAGTTGGGGTAAGTAAGTGGAAATCAGAAGAGCCATACAAATGTTGGAAAAAGACAAGAGGTAAAATCCAGAATCCACTGAAGTCAGAAGTTTTACCTCTGTCTTTGAAGGCAGGGAACTGCCCTCAAAGGTGTTTTCCACTGCAGCCTGTGAGAACAAAATACTACAGGGGCTGGTATGCTAAGGAAGCTCCTTGTTGCCAGATTAGCTCTAAAACTGATGGAGTTTGTTGGATGAGCATGTGGTTCTGTTATCTCAAATTCTCTCAGCCTCTAGAGAAATACAGTAATGGAGAGCTTGTGCAGAGCTGTTTTATGTAGTTCATCACAGTAAGCAAAATTAGTAAGTTTTTCATGTTATCATTTGATTCCCTAGGGTGTTGTTGCTGATACTTCTCCACAGACAGTAGCATCTTCATCACAGGAAGCCAGTGGTCAACAGCAACAGATGACAGTGGAAACATCCAGTGAACATGCGCCTGCATATTCTTACCAACAATCTAAGTGAGTAGGCATGCACTTTCTAACCAGAAGGTTTTGATTCTTGATTAGAGTGGGCCATATTCTGCTCCCCACTTTAGCAATATAAATTCTGAGTAGCTTTGTTAGGTTCAGATGAAGTCTGGATATATAGCAGTGTAGTTAGCAAAAGATTTTGGCTGATGGCCTCACCTTGGCAAAATGTCCTTGCCTGCAATGATATGCTCTCTAACTGTCTGCTGCTTTTCTGGACTCAGAAGGATCTCAACAACTGCATTAATGGTGATCATGCTGGGCTAAAGCAGCATCTGGCTTCAGAGGTTAAAGAGGGTTTAAATTTTGCAATGGTGAAAATATTGGCACAGTACACATGTAAAGATTTCTTTCTGGAAGTGTAGCTAATGAAGCAGTATAAATTGCCCCAACTTGGTTATTTGTGATTATGCAAAATCAATGCCTTGCAGACATTCCTCCTGAGAGCAGTGCTTGCTCCTGAGAGTACAGGAACTGGAAATAGAAGAAGGGTTAAGAAAGGGATGGGGAGAAGCACTGCTCTGTCTTTCTTCTGTCCTCTTCACCCTTTGTTTTCTTCCCATGGAGTACATTGGAAAAATTTATACCCTGACAAGGAGATCTAGAATGCCTAAAGAGTAGCTTAATCTTCAGCATAATCCTCAAAAATTCCTACTCTTTGGCACATTAAAACCATATTCTCACAAAGGGAAAGTTACACAGTGACAGGGTACTCACCGGGGATGATCAGTGTTGGACAGATCCTAGGAAGGAGCTTAAACCCAGTCCTTTATTAATACATGTATATTTAATGCTGCCATCCCTGTGAAAAGGAAATTACACATTTTTTATACTGGGGTTTTGGGGAAGGAAGTAGACAAATAGCCAGAAAAGAAATGTGTCAGATATGTCAGTCAGTGCATCATGACATAGTACTTAAGAGAGGCATAAGGTGGGAGCTGGTATAAGAATGATTAGAATTATACCAGTCTGTCAGTTCCTTTACTTCATTTTTGACCTCTGGAAGTGGAAGATGCATTTATTTGTCTCACATATGAGTAACATGTTTTTTCAAATCAATGTCCCTTTTTGACGACAATAAAACATAAGACCTCACTATTTCATGTGTCATGCCCATATTTGTCTATACTTGTGTATTACAAAAGCAATTCATCACAAGCTTTTTTTTGATGCACCCAATTGGAGATGCAGTATATGCATGTGAATCCCTTCTAGTCATCAGTCTTTCTGGCACCTGTAAATAAATGATGGAAAAATACATTTAGAGTATAATGGCCAAAGAGAGAAATATGCTGTTGGCTTATTTTGATGGCTGTGTTCTATAGGAGTTTGGATCTGACTGTTTCTGTATTTCAGTTACCATTTTCTAAGTCTCAAAGGAGAAGGACTTTGTTCAGAAGTCCTCGTAAGGTATCTGTAAGCAGCAGATTCTGGCATTTTTCCCAAATAGGAGGAAAACTGCTCTGCAGTTCTTTCTTGAAATGGGTGCTGTGTTTCTTGCCAATGTGGTGAATTCCCACATTCTCTGAGAATGAGGTCCCTCATCTTTCCTTGTCAGCTACAGCCTTTTTGCAATGATGGATAAACTTCTAATGGCACCAGCATTTACAGTCAGAGGATTTTCTTTTTTAATCACATAGGCAGATCCACTAGAGATTTTTTATTATGATTATTTCAGTATTTTTGTCTGAAACATGCCCTCTATTTATATCTGCCAGTTGGAGGCAGAAATGCAATGTGAGGGAAGCTGTAGAAGCAAATCAAAATACATGAAATCTCTGTCTTAAAAAAAAATTCTGCCAGAATATTTCAGTAACCTTTAATGTAAGACCAAGTGAAGTTGTTTTCTAATTAAAATATAGTTTTATTAATCTGCTCTTTGAAGGGCACATTTGTTGATAGTAAACATTGTGGCCAGTATACAGCAGCTGTTTTCAAAGCAGGTTGAGAGGAAGTAATTAACATGACCAGCAATGATTTTGTCAGATATAGGCAAAGGAAAAGCAGACACTATAAAATTATTTCATAAGAGCTGATCAGTCAGGAGAAAACTTATAACAGTGTATTTCATTATATTTATTTTCTTTGCAACAATGACGAAATTGCAGGCAACGAAGGAGAGGCAATGTACTCAGAATGAACTGGGTGGTATAAGGACTCTGTACTCTCTTTGTAAGTAAAAATAAATCACTAGACTTGAAATTTAAATTCTACTTTTTTAATCAGCATACACCTTCTTTTATTTAATATGCTGGCTGCTGTACTTGAGGATCCCACCCATAGACGTTCAGGAATTATATCTTCATGTCAAAAATCTGGCTACCTATTGTGTAGCAATATAGGAGAAACAGCCCTTGTTTTTTTGAGCAGAGGACTCTGCTTTATGAGGAAATCACCTCTTTCTATTTTAAATACATACTCCCTTTTATCCTTGTAAATCTTTAATTTTGCACATAAAAGTAAGAAATCTGTGAAGTGGAGATAGAGATCCTTTCCCCCTGAAAAGTGTACTGTCTTCCCTCTAAACAAAACTCTGCCGGACAACAAGCTGTGATTTTAAAGGTGGAAAGAATTACATTTTCTGGAGCCTTTGGTGGGCAAACTCAGTGCCAGGTTAGATTAGAGAGTGTGTGCTGTGACCTTTCAGTGGATATGGTCTCTCACATATATGGTGGCCACTTGACCCGGAGGGGCAGTGGAACCTCAGGAGGTGACCATCACACTTGAGTGCTCCTACCATTTGTTAGGCATAGAAAACCCAAAGAAAATAAGTAACTCTTGCTTTCCACGTAAATCTGTTGTTAACATTCAAAATGTTAATTTTCAGACTTCATGCAATGAAAAAGTCCTTTGGTAAAGTCAGTGTTTAAAATTAAAGTTACTTTTATGTTTACCATCTCAGAAAAATAGTTTTGTGGCAAATGTTATGTCATCAACATTCTTCACAATTTAACTCCTAGTATTCAAATTAGTTTAAAACGAAGCAAGGCAAATGCATTAATGCTTGCAAATGGAAAGGTGCTGGATTTTCTTGTGTTGAACTTTGGTTGGAAAAGGATTTTTTACATGCATTTTTCAGAACTGTAGGAAAAGCACTAGTTAACCCTTACTGGTAACAGCATTTATTATGTAGGTTCTGTGTCTCCCCAAAGATCATATATAGTCTCGATAAATTTGATGTGATATATCTTTAATTGACATGAAACCTCAGAAACACAAATGTAGAGTTATCTTAAGTAAGAAAAAGTTTTGCTTATTCTGTATGCTGAATTTAGAAAGATTGGACACTATATGATAAAAAGAATGCTAATTTTTCTAATTAATATTATATTGAATGTTTCTACTAAGTTAGCCATAAGCAGCTCATTAAGCAGACTGCTCCACAGTCTAACTGTTTCTGCCATCAGCAAATTGGATGTATCCTTTTATTGTAATTTTATCCTTTATTATTAGTATCCACAATAAATTGTGCCACTTATTATTATGAAAGTATTTGCTATCTTATTGAATTACTCTTGAAATATTTATACAGTGTTAAGCCACGTATTCAGCTCATTTCGGTGTAGTTAGACTGCCCATTAAGCATAACATTAACAAGAGCAAATTCATCTGCTTAGGATGTGTTAACGTCCCCAAAGCAGGAGTTCCTACTTTCTGCCTGGCTGCTTTCAGCTTAGTGGTGGTATCATATTTAAACAGCTGGAAAGTTAGTTTAGCTTGGATAACTTTTAAAGAGAATTGGGTGGAAGAAAAGGGGAGCAGCCTATTTCGAAGTTGTTTTGACTTAATGACCACTTTAATTCAATTGTTTTTACAGACAGTAAACAGGACTGAAGAATGTCGGTCTGAAATCTTTGCCTTGAATGGAGAGACTTCGCTGAACAAGAAGTTGGCTTCCAGTTTGCACAGGCGTCAAATGAATGCTTTTTTTTTTCTACCTTTCCCAACGAAAACAAAACAGTGTTTTTATGTGCTGTGCAAATGGTTCCGTCATGTAGTCTTTTTTTTTTTGACTTCTTTTTTTTTTTTTTTTTTACTAAAGAAAGAACCCAGAGGAAAACCTCTGGTCAACATTTCATCTGGACAAACATTTGAATTCAGAATTTACCTGGAAGTGTAGCTAGATTTATTTTTGTTTTGTTTTGTTTTTTTAAACAGAAAAACTGATGATGTCAAGAGGGAGCAAGTTGTGATGAAAACTAATTGTCTTCCTCAAAAATTAAGCTACTCTTTTTCTCTTGTTTTCTTTTCCTTCTTGTTTTAAATCTAGAGTGGGGTTTTTTTGTTTGTTTTCGATTTTTTTTTGTTTTTTTTAAATAAATGTTTAGGTAAGGTTTATCTTGAATCTTAATTGCCTTAATTTTAAGGACGTCAAAGGCTCTCAAGGCAAGCTGTCAACGTCTTGTTAGAAAAACTGAGAAGGAAATGAAACTGCTCACACCGGTGCTGGTGCAGAAGTTTAATAGACTGAGTTTTTGGAGTGAACAAAAAATAAACTGTACAGTTTAAAAGAAAATGATTTTCTTCTTTTGAAGAAAAGTTGATGATAAAGGAACTGTGGCAACTGAAAGGATTGGAAAAATGCTGGGACTTTTATGAACTTTGTCTTAAGTGTTGACAGAAAAAAAATTCTAGAAGGCTAAGGCATTTTACAGTAAAGTTATTGAATTGAGAAAAAAACATACTGCATTATAGAGAATGCAGGGTTTTTTTCTTGCAGAATGCAGATTTTTTTATTTACAAAGCGTGATCGCTAGCAAAAGCATTAGTGCTTTTTATCTGCAGTCTTTTTTATGAGCTTTAAGAAGTTTTTAGTCTGCTTTGCTTGTCACATTGCAAAAACCTAGCTTAAGAGCATTAAAAAAACTTAAGTAGATAGGAGCTTATGGTCAAAAAAAGTGCAAAAAAAGCAATAGATAGAAGAAATTGTTGACAATTTCTGTAGTCTTTCCTAGTTGTGAACAAATGCAGCCTATGGATGGCCTATTTTATACCAAAGATGAAGTGACACCCTAACGCAGTCCAGAAGATAGAGATTTTTTTTTCTTTTTTTATCTTTATTTGACCTACATGGCCGGACCAGTTCTTACTTTCTTGTTTGTTTAAACTATCTTCCACTGGTGTTTTTACATACTGCATATGTTTATAATGGAAATTTCGGAATAGTTGGGGTTAGAAGCTCGTTAATGGTGTGCTTTGGAGAACATCCCAAAGCAAGGGGAAGTAGGTTGCCAACTAATCTGTCCAGGTGGGCTTTAATTTTGATGAGTTTTTCTGTTACATTGCCTGATCTTTGGTATTTCTACTGAAACAAAGAGTCTTCCTTCTGAATTCTGACATACTGCAGATTCATTTCTTCACCTCAGTCTTTGTCATCGTCCAGCATGCATAGCCACCTTAATTCTGTGTTTGTTTTTCAGTGATGCATTTGAATTGCCAGATAGAGGCAAGCAAAAGCAAACCTGATCCTTGATCTCATTTTAGCTCTCCCTTACAAGAATAAATGTTGAAAATAATGTAGTATTGTTATGCAGACAGGAAGTTAAAAATTATTCTTCTCTGCTATTATTTCTGCTGTCTTAATATGTTGGCTGACAATCACTAATGTATGATTAGGCAAAAAAAGACACTAAATGGAATCCACTGAAACCTGTTTTAGGAATGACAGTTATTTTCCATAGAGAAATCTTGGTTATGGCCCTCACTTTTTCCAAACAGATGAACGAAAAAGTTGAGAAGCAAGTCAAAAGATGTTTTTTTCCCTTAAGGAGACAGAAGAGAAGCAGCATTCAAATGTATGCATACATACACATACATCTACATGTAAAAATTAAACCAAGCTGTTTTCAATCTTCCTTCTACCAGAAGAGAGGGGAAGCTTCATCACATTTATTGTGGTGCATTAGAGACAGGGTATCCATTAAAAATAATAAAATTAAAACATATATATTGGATCAATCTGATTCAGCTACCCAATTCTAAAAAGAGATCTGTGTTGCCCTAACCTGACTTTTTTGGGAAAAAGAACACAATATTTTTTTAAATTGATAAAACAAGATCATATTTTTTAACATGGGGGGAGGGAAGGGGTTTCCCAAGTAAATGGCTGCTAGATATGCAACATAGAAAAGAGAGAAATGGGGGTTCACATGGTTCTCCACCAGAGGAAGAGGGCCTGATTTTCAGAAGTGGTAAAACTTTTGCTTTCTCCAGAGTAGTTGTTGATATTCAACACTTCTGAAAACCAGACGATGCCAAAGTAAAAGAACAACAAAATCCGCAATTCAGAAAAGAAAAAAAATCCTTCTGTTTCACATGCTGTCTCATTACTCTTGTTTCCTTTTGAGAGTGGCACTTGAATTTTGTCTTTGGATAAAGGTTCCCTCTTTCTTTGGAGGGCATATGAGGAAAAAAAAAAAAAAATCGATCTAGCCTTATTTTCTTCCTTCCTACATGTATTCTTTTTTTGTCTGTCTCTGAATTCTTTGTACAAAAATATAACCGCACTCACAAGTCAGTTAAATATGTAATAAATACATTTGTTTCTGTGTTAGTTCTAATGTGACACACAAAGTCTCATTTACTATCAACAATGAGGCTACAAGGTAGCTACCATGTGGCTGATGAATATGCTGAGGTACCTTCTTGTTTCTATTCAGAACTCTGCTGCTTTATTTATACATTCAGAAACTTTTTTCTTATTTTTTCAGCAAAGTTAAACGATCTCAAGTGTTTTTTATTAAACTCAACAGGCATCACAGTAACATGATGCCTGCCACTTTAAAGTGTTTCAAGTGCATTCTGTATTAGAACTGTTCCCTTATTTTTCCATGCTATAATGTTCAATAGTGTTTGAAATAAAAAGAAACAAAGCAAAGAAGTAGAGGAAGAAGAGAAGGAAAGAAAATGGATCCCTTAAATACAGCTGATCATATTACTGATCCCAAAAAAAACAGTGAGCTGGTACTTGAAATTCCTTGAATTGTAAACAATGTGGACCTTGAATATAAACAGTCATAGATTATAAGGTAAGAAAAAAACTTATTTGGAACATACAAAATGATCAGAAAGTGGTAACTTATTTGTAAAATAAGAAGATGAGGGAAAAGAGAACAGTAGAAAAGCAACACACATTCTGCATGGATGTTGTTGTAGGAGAGGAATACTTGTGGCCTCTGAAATCTGAAACTGGTTTTCTTTGTGTTCTGGATAATAAGATTTTTTGGAAGATTTTATTATTATCTGTTTGAATTTCTGTTTTCCTTTTTTTTTTTTTTTCTTTTTTTTGTGGAGACCTGAATTTGTAAAGTCAATATCTGTCTGTCTTACCAATTTAGCTTTAAATATCAGGAGGGTTCCTGAAAGGTTGCAGAAACAACTGTAGAAGTCTAAGGCAATGGTGCCTGGCCCAGAGGTCTAGAAGTAACATTAAATCCGTAAGCTGAACTGCGTAGTTTCCATCACACCTGAATACTTGTAAATAGTAAAATCTGGATGTTCAGGTTTGGTATTTTTGGTTTTACCTGAAAAGATAAATACAGAAGGGGTGTCATAAAATGATGAATTATGGCTAGAAAATTCTGTATACCTGGGCTCATCACTTAACATGGAGGAAAAAAAATGTTACAGTGGAACTGAAGAGAGTGTTGTATTTGCAGGTGCTGACTCAAGTGTAGATCAGGGCACTGAGAAGTCTCTTCCCAGTGAGGTTGCTGAGGGACTCTCCTTCCTATCTGGCTCTACTGCTGGTTTTGTAAGCACTTTTCACCTGTGACAGTCAGGCCTCAAATTGTGAATGTCCTCTTACTGCCTTCCAGTGAAACAGACTCTTGAAATGTCCTTAGCTTGTGCTTACTTGTATAGTTCTTTTTACCAAGAGACTGCCTTGGTTGTGTTGGTCAAGAAATGCACTGTAATGCAGAATGAGGCGTATCTGAGAGCAATTGCATCACACTGTATCATCTTCTGCTATGGATGCATGCCCAACTGTGGAAGATAAAGGCTGGTGATTAGAGAAGTGAGGGCTTAAACTTTCAATGGGCTGAAGCATTCAAATGGATTTTTACTCAAGTAAAAATCAAATGAAGGGGTTTATTTATGTATGTATGTGTACCAAAACTCAGCAAATTTGAGGAAGCCTGCATTGTAATAAAGTTTATTTTTAATATGTCATAGTATTTGGATCTATATTATGTTGTTTATGGTACTGAAGGATAAGACTGATACTAAGTGTTTAACAGATTGTCATGCTTCATGACTTTAAGCTTGATGGTGCTCCTCATGCCACTTCATTTTAATGCTGAGGCTGACATGAGCAAAACAGGTTTAGGCTGAACTCCACCTATAGCAAGAGTCATGCTAAAAAGTGATAATGTGCTTAAAGTAATGAATCAATCCATTTGTAGTGATGAGACCAAATGTGGTAGTTGAAGATAGTAATGTTTGATACACACATGGTCAACATTTCCTTTCAAAACTTTATTTGACATGAAATTGGTCCGGATAGAAAAGAAGTGCTGGAGGGTAAGGGATTTTCCTGGTCATTCTCAGTAGCCCACATGAACTAAGAAAATAGTCATGGTGTGATGGAAATGCAAAACAGAAAACAACAAAGATGCTGACATTTGGTGTTTTAATCTTTTCTGTTTAATGACAATTGACTCTAGTAACAAAGATACCTTTCATTTCTAACACGCATACACACAATCATGCATGCACACTTTCTCAGGAGGGCTGAGTGAGCAGCAGACTTCTCCTCTCCCTCAGTTGAGCAGATTTCTAGAATCTCAGCAAGCAGCAAAGATACAGTGTAAGGAGAGTTATTTTTCCCTCAGAAAGAGCACCAACTCTTTCTATATTGCTTCCATCACCTAAATAGACTAGAGTGCTGTATGTACCCCAGAGTTTTATTCACCTTTGTGCCTCAAAGCAGGCAGAAGAGACCCTTTCTTCTCCCCTTTATTAACATGCTCTTTTTTAAAAATTAAACATAAAAATGAGAGGAAAGTTAAAAAAAAAAAATCCCAGTGTTTGTTTAGCTTTCCATGATGAGAGAAATTATTGTGTTTATGTCAGTTGTTCAGTTCAGCTGTTAATTCCCCAACAGTGACAGCTGAGTTCTTTCACCTTAATAAAAATGTGTAATGAAATGAAAAATGTCAGCCTTTGACAGGTTCACAAATCCATTTTTCCTTGTAGGGCCAAAGCCTGCAAGGTGTAAGCACCTTCCAAGATCTGTATCTGTTGTCCTTAAGAGAGTATCTGGCCAACATTAATTTTATGCCTTTAAGTGTCTTTCTCTTGGGTAATAATTTTATGAATTTGGTGAAATTTACAGTCAGTTATATTTTTAAAAGCCAAAAAAATACAGCCTAGAGAAGAGAACATGATCTTTATGTAACTGAAGTATTATTAAATATGCTGTATTCCAGAGTGGAAGAAAATTCTGCTATCTTACGGAGGCAAAATAATTTTATGTAAAGCAAGGAAGCATATAGAATTCATATAGGAATTTTAAATTGTTTTCCTTTTTAAAGGAGATTGAACAGATTCTGTCTGTAAGAAAAATCAAAGCAACTTTGAAAGCAGATGAACTTCCTATCAAGAAAACATGCATCACACAAATGGGACAGAGGTTCTTTAAAGCCCTTACAGACCTCACTGTAGCCAAAATGTAGTATGCAGAACCTCTGTGGTACATTAAATTATGAATCTTATTTATATGGGCATCTGTGTGCTGATGTCTCAGCATGTCTTTGAAAGATCTGTACTGCTATGATTTTTTTTTATGTTTTCCATTTGTACCACAATCCTAAATAGCTGCCATTTTCCCACTCCTGGGGCTTTCTGTAGATCAGTGGATGTTAGGTTTAAACTTCTGTTTTCTTTGATGAAGCTTTCAATAAAAAAAATAAAGAAAAGAGCTGGGTGACTCCATTCTTGTGGCACCTTCCTGCAGAGGCTTCCTAAGGCTGTGGCTCTTGTGCTGAGCACAGAGGGAGTAGAAAGGCTTTGTGGCGAAGTGTGCCTCGTCCGTGTCTTCACCAAATAGAAGGAAAGCATTGGAGAGACAGGATGGCTCTGCGGCCCTATCAGCAGCACAACCACCCACACTGTAGGAGGTGAAATACAGGAGAAAGTTTTTCTCACTCCAAAACTGAGTGTATAGTAGTAAGAGATATCTGCTGTCCAGGCTCTCAGCTGTGCACCTGCTAGAACAATATTGCCTCTGTTTCTGAGGCTTATTTTAAAGAGTGACTTCAGGGCAAAAGTTGCTACGTGGAAGGCAGAAAATCTTTATTTGTGGAATAAGAACAGCCTAAGCGGTGGTAGTGCGAACTGTACTTCATCTTGAAAGGGAACTGGAAGGTAAATTGCCTCCTTGGCCATATCTCACTGGGAACAAGAAAGCTATTTGGCACACTTCCCCATGGCTGCTTCAGTCATTTGTGTTGCCATGTGCATTTCTTCCCGTGAGGGCTGTTTCTGTGATGAAGGCAAGGACGTGCTGAAAGTGTCCAGAAACTCTCCTCCCCAGCCAAGGCGCTTTATTCACATGCTGGAACTCACTGACTCCTCGCTTTTACCTACCAGTAATATGGCTGTCTCCTTCAGCACTAAACATGTTTTGTGGGATTGCCTGCACGCTTTCCTTTTCATTCTTTCTGCCTGATGAAATGTCCATTGGTGAGCTTCTCACTACATCAATCTAATCAGGAATGTCCACGAAATCTTTAGAAGATGGAGGAATGGGAGGCGGAAGTGGGTGAGAGGGTTTTTTTCAGCTGCACATATGCTGAAATGCCCATTGCTGCTGGCTGTGATGATGGTGAGAGAAGGAGGATGGCAGGAGACTGAAGCTACAGCCTGCCTGGCACTTCGAGTAGTAGCTGAGTGGGAGAGCAGCAAAAAGTTAGACATGTTGTCCCACCAACACAGGCAGTACCAAGGTAGTTTATAGCGGATGCTCTGGCATCAGGTTCAGCTTTGTCACCAGGATTGCTCTATTTCCAAGATAATTCCACTTCAAATTCTACTAACAATATCACTAACAACTGTGGTATTCGTGGTTTTGGTTTTATCGTCTGTCAATTTGGCTGGCTGGCTGCATATGAAACCAGCCTAAGGGGGGGTTGCATCATCTTCCACAGAAGTGCAGGTAAGAAGACTTTCTCCTCTCCTCCTCTTGGTCCTCTTGGTCCAGAGTCATGTTTATCAGTAGTATACATCTGGATTTGGATTAGATATAGGGAAGAAAATTCTTTACTGTGAGGCTGGTGAGGCCCTGGCACAGGGTGCCCAGAGAAGCTGTGGCTGCCCCATCCCTGGCAGTGTTCAAGGCCAGGTTGGATGGGGCTTGGAGCAAGCTGCTCTAGTGGAAGGTGTCCCTACCTGTGACAGAAGGGTTGGAAGTGCATGAGCCTTATGGTCGCTTCCAACACAAACCAGTCTGTGACTTCCACTGGAGAAAGCCATGTGCTCTGATTGTCACTTCCTGAGATTTCGGGGGTGTGGGTGTGGTTGGGGGGAAAACAACAACAAAACAGCTGCTGTAGAATAAACTGAGGATAATTCTACACTTAGCAAGTTTAAATACATTTTATTTGTATCATTTTAGGTGACTGGTGGTTGCAAATGGAAAGCAAGGTCTCAACGTGCCAGTAATGATCAGCAAACACAGAAGCAAAGGGTGGGGAACAGTCAGGACTAGAGCAGAAGTTACTGAAAGTGGCAAACAAACCAAGACACTGATGTGTGTGCCTGGTTGTTGGTAAACTTGTGGCAGCCCTTCTCTGTGCCATGGGGTCTTGTCAGTCTGGTCCTCAGGAGAACACTGTATGCTATGCCAAAATCTCCATTTAACTTAGCAGAGTACAAGCTATAGTAGTAATTGACGAGTAACAGAAGTGGTCCTGAGGATGCATGCAATGGGGTGATTTTATCTGGCAACTGGCAAGCCTACCTGGCAGGGAGCTTGCTGCCACTACTGCAGGCAAGGCAGTCATGTTAATGGGAGACAGGCAGGAGACAGGCAGATCTCCACTGAAGCCCTCCCAGAGCCTCTCAGTTCAGAGAAACACAGACATGGTCAGCAAGGTTTGTTTACCAGTGTTACAAAGTTCCTGAAATAAAATTCCACTTTGGGGGAAAGATGCTGGGACCAAACCACATCCTTCCTTTACAAATGTGTACGTATAAATATCTGCCTAAGGCATGCTCACTTTTATCAGCTTGCTTTGCACTAGTACATCACTGAACTTATTTAAAGGGACGTAAGTAATGACTAAATAATCTACTGGGTACGTGCACCAGTCTAAATGGAGAAATTGAAAGTTTATCTAGTTAAAATGATGTAGCTGATTTTTGAAGTTGAAGAGGCTTGTGTTTTTAGTGTGACAAGCTGAGGCCCTAAGCTCTGCTGCATTGAAATACTGCTGAAAAATAGAAGTGTCTGAGAAAAAGATAGAAGGCATGACTTACTTACACCTATTATTTGACTTACTTCACCATTTGTTACCAGTCAATATATTCTCTATCTTGTGTGAAATTCAGCTGTTGATCCACAGCCAACTGAAAATTGTGTAAGCTCCTTGAACATCATTCATGTGGGATCTAATCCTTTGTTTTTCACTCACAAATCATTTCCTCCTTATTAACAGTTGTGCTATACCACACAGCAGCCCACTAGGATGCTGTCTTCCTCAGAGCAACTTTTCCTCACTGCCAATCTCCTGTGAAATACTCTCTAGTGGAACACAGCTCTGAGTTTTCCACATGTGATAAGATTATTTTCTAGTTAATCTTGGTGATATATAAAGGAGGTAGTTGGCCACCACTGAATCCCCTTTTAGAACAGAGTAGGAGGCTGAAACAGGACCAGCCAGATCTCATCAGTTGACATCAGGGCACAGCAATCATTAGCCAGAGAAAGGAAAGAAAGAAGTTGTTAGAAGAAGGTAAAGCAACACAGCCAACACAGCCAGAATTGTTTATGTGTGTTCTCAGGTGCAGTATGTGGCCTTTGGCATAGGTAAACGTATGCATATCTTCCTGTTCAGAGTCACTCAAACACTTACCTGAGCCTTAATGTCCACTGCACAGTGAACTGATCTGAATAAGCTATCAGGAGAAGCAGAGATCTGATCCAATGCTTCCTTTCTCCATTTGTGCTC